ACTCACTCAAGTACCTTTTCCTTTTGTAGCAAGCAGCAATATAATTGTAACATGACGTGTTTGAGTTAAATTTGCCTACTTAATATCGCACTTCCTAAAAACTAAATTCTAAAAAAATCGCACGTCCTGCGATGGGAATATCGTGCATGCGCATAACGCGATTATCATCACGACACAAAATATCATGCAGCCCTAATCCGCACCGTCATTACATTTGGGATCTCTATATGGCATCTGCATGACTCCAAAAGACATTTAAAAATGTAGGGAGTCTGGAGCATCGTACAAATGCAAATACTAAAATGTAAAGGCCCAGATACACCGGCCCGAAATCGGCAGTAAATGGGAGTCGGGCCGAACATGANTCATCGAGTGCCGCCGAAGTACTGTTCCAATCTCCAGCATACTTGGAATTCCACCGAGGCCGCGTCCTTAGTTTGGGGGAAATTTCGAAGCTGCACATGGGTAGACTTCGCGTCCTTAAAATCCCCACAATGCTTTGCGCACGGACCAATTTCAAAAACCCTTGCGGAGAATGGCTGAACCGACGCAGCACACATTTAAATGTAAGTATGTAGTACAGCTGGTTGCTAACAAACGCCATTGTAAGACATAAACACTGATGTTCCACTGTAACGGCGGTGGACTCATCAGAACAGAGTGGGCGAGCTGACCAATCAGAGCACAGTGGGCTCATAGGGAGGGGGGGCAGGAGCTCCAACAAGGTGTGTAGGACAGAGAGTGAACACACATACTATACATACAGAGATGCTGTATGAGAAAACCAATGCGATTTTGGAACATTGAACAATGTAAATCTATTCTAGTAGACCTCAACAATGGAATTATGATCAGTAAAAATGGCCATGTCATGGGACCTTTAATATGCAAACAAACAAAAATCTCCAATATTCCTACGTTTTCATACCACCAAAACAATACTGTATAAAATCATTTGGAAAGAAAATCAAACCTTAAACACTTAACAGTTGGATGTTCTAACATTACTCGACACACCAGATAACCGAATGGAATACAGCCATAAAAAATCACTTCTGTATTATGAAAGTTTTTGGCAATTTTTTCGGATTTGCACCACATTTTCCAACCTTAAAATATTCAGCGAGGACACAGAAATATTGGGAATAATAATATTTATTGAAATGTTGCAATATTTTAAGGTTATTTTTACAATATCGCACTTGTCAAATATCAGGAGAAAACAATTTAAATACTGATTTTGGCAGTTGGCCATAGAGGACACTTTCATAACAAGAATAAAAGTAAATCAAATAATGAGGCAGGCACCTTTTACTTCCAGCAGGTGCCTAGCGTCATATAGGCTTTTGGTATCATTCTGCCGAAATAAAAAGCAGTTAAACTTATATTTTACCTGCATAAAAAGCCAAAATCATTGGGTTGAATCAGATTCTTCACATATGATTGTTGCAATGACATTTAATCAGTTAACAGATAGTGTTTTAACACACCATGTGTGCATTTTACTACACCGCTGAATCCATTTGCAATTATTTTTTCAGTCAGTCGACTCGGTTGTAACCCGAGGTCAGTTTTTTTGAAATAAGAGAATCCTGTTCAGTCTGAACCCCATGATAGGCTGCATGAAAACACACTGCAGTCACACAAACATACTCAGTCTATCTGGGGGAAAGTGAAAGCGACTGAAACATTGTCAACAGCAGAAGGACCCTATCCTTCACTGCAGGGTGCTGACCACTAAAAGCAAACAGTGTAACTGAATAAATCTACTTTGGTAGTGACTTTTTTCCAGTATCAAAAAAATGGAAAGTGTTAGTGTTTTGGCACATGAGCACTCAGTGAAAAACTTTTGAAATGTTTCCACACATTGCTTCACTGAAGCAAAAGTTCAGTCTAACACAAAAAGCTGTTTAAGGCGAAAGTCAAGCAAGATAGTTTTTACATACAAAATCTGCACGCAATATTAAGGCAAGAAATTACAGCCAGTAGGCAAGCATGGAGATTTCAAGCACAACGCATCAAAAATAACCTGAACTCCTGACACAGAATACATGTATTACAAAGAAATCAATTCCACCAGATAAAAAACGTGCAGTTTGCAGCTGCTCTCTTGTTGCAAAAGCAAAAAAACTGTGGTTTGGCATACTATGATTTCTAGCATGCAGATTTTGCAATACATAAAACAATGCTTTCATAAAAAGGTCCATAAGGCACACATCCTATACACACTGCTATCCTGAAACAGTTTGCATTCTTTTTGAGTTTCCAATTGCACATTTGCAAGACTTTTTTAAGCATAAAACTGTAGTTCTCTCTCATTCATTTGATAATAAAATATATGTAAACAAAAATTGAAATGTAATGGCATGTTAGGAAGATAACCCTCTACTACAAGTGCAGTGCTAAGATCAAGTGAACAATCAAAACAATATTTCTAAGCATTTTATCATGTCAGGGTGAGATGATATGCTGCTTAAAAACGACCAGCTATCTGTCTCCCTCTAGTGGTGACTCTCTCCTATCACCAGTGGCTGTTGTCGGGGTAACTCGGCACTGCGGCAGGGTACTGGGGCAAACTCGGGCCCTGGGCTGTCTGAGCAACAGCGTTAAAACCTGCTTCCCTCACAGGAGCACTCTTCCACAGCCCGGTGCTCCACTCCTCCTTAGCCTGCTCCATACTGCCGCCGCCGCCTCGGTACATTCTGTGCACCTACCACAGGAAAGGAAAGTGTAAAAAAAGTGTTGTTCATAATCTGCATCTGTGTCTGTTTTTAAGCGTCTGTGTGGGCTTATATAGATGATGGACAAATGCAAGTGTGTTTTTTAGTGTATGCTCACCTTAATGAGAACCAGTGCCATTAAAGCAGTCACCACAGTGAAGAGCAGAGTTGTGATAAGCATCACTATAGCGGAGCCCACATTTGTGCTGAAAAACATCATTGTCGCAATCCAGCCGCTATGATGAGTTGGTGAGGGTGAGATGGAGTAGTACGGGTTAGTGTTTCACAGTATGCAATTAGCAAAGTGGATTGAATACAATTACCCAAAGTAACCAATGAGACATTAAGCAGTGCGCAAACAGATGCAGTGGCAAACAGCTTCAGGATGATCAGTGTCACATTCACTTTACATGACGCATTTTATAATTACATGTTACTTGTTGTTATCATGAGTGAATAGTATTGTTGACTTAAGCAGCTGAACACCAATATTGCTTAGCTTTAAGAACATGGTTGGTGATAATAATGTCTACATCTATTCTAAAATAAAATATCAATATGGCATTCTGACTGTAGTTATTTAGATGTGACACGTGCTTGTATAATGTACTCAAAAAAGTAGTCTTAATAATCAATTAACATGATAATTCAAGACAATCTGTTTGTAGAAATGTGAAAAAATTATGAACTTTTATTATAGTTTGCCCAAAAAACCTTGTTGTTAAGAGTTAAACACAAATAAAAATAAATATTTGTAAGTTGCAACATTGTGTAAAACGTAAATAAAAACAATGATGCAAATCATTTTTCTTTTACACAGCATTCCAACTTCATGTGAATCGGGGTTTGTATACTCAAAGTATGCCTCATCGGTTCGTAAAGGGATAGTTCCCGTTTTTTGTAGTGGAGCCACATAAGGTACTTATCTTTAGTCAATTACAATAAATGATGGTCGGCACGGACGTTAAGAGAAACAGACAGGAGTGCCACAACAGAAGCAAAGCAATTTACTGCTGTGGTTAAGTACCTCATTCAGCCCCACTTCAAGAGATCCAAACTAGTATTTTAATGTTATGGTTAAAACCTTTCAACCCCATGTACCGCGACTACAACAACCCCTCGTCCTAAACCATGGAGGAAACTATAATGAATAGAATAAACAAGCAAAAATGTGCAGATAATGTATGGATACTTAAATCATCACGTGTGAAAATGTCTGATGGAAACACATTTCCCAGCTGCCTTGATCATTTGACAAAAGCCCTCGTCATGACCCACTCGATGATGAAACATGCGCACAGTTTTTAGAGCTTCTTTTTTTAACTACTGACCTTGTTCCCCAGCCAGAGATGCCAATAGTCTGGATTAGAGCCAAGACACACTGAAGGAAGAAGATGAAGAAGAAGGTCATGTAGTTGAACGAGCTGTCAGCCCTGTGAACAAAAGAGAAAACACAAGGATGATACACTCACAATCCAAGAGCTGCACTATTTTTGTTGCAGTGCTGCTTCCTCCTACCATTTATCAACCCTGAGGATAGAAGGTGAGTGTTTATGATACCACAGAGGAAACTATTTCACACTAGTTTCACAATCATACAGTCCAAACTTTGGAAGTGTAAAGGAAAATCAGTGGGGGTGATATTGGCTAGAAGCAGCATTTATGATTAGATCCCATTATTTCCAGTAATCACATTTTGAAATGAGGAGCCCCTACGCTGCTGTAGCCTGCTGTAGAGACAGTGTTTACAATCAGCCTGAAGGTGTGAAATATAAGACTTTCTCAAGCAGGATAAGGTATGTTGGATCAAACCGTTATTGTAAGCTGCATTTTGACGATATCCAACCAAGAACACTGTCTGTACTCCTCCTTGGGGAGTGATACTCACAGCCTGCATGCTAGTGTTGGGATAGTGTGTCTGCTTGGCCTTGTAGTGTGTGAAGTTACGCAGGCAGGTAGATGACAGAATTTGAATCAGTAATTGCAGTTGGGATGAATTCCAACTGACTTTTCTGGGAACAGTTTTTCCTATTTCTATTGCCATCAAGCTTTTTTTAATCCACAGTCTTCTGTTCAGTTCCTCCTACTCTTATCTCTTCCCTACCAAAGATCTTACCTACATTTTAACAAAAAGTATTTTTGTGTAGAGCTTTTGCTCATTGAGCTCCCCTCCATGTTAACCTCATTGCTTAATTAACTTTTCAAATGGCCTGACCTACATTAACTTTGCTGGTGATGTGTTTTACATTTTGTCTGTATGCGTTATCAAGTGTGATGTCTCATACTTGTGTGTCTGATGTTACATTGTATTCTGTAAAGTATGCAGAGACTTTTTGGGTGATTTGTGCTTTAAATATACCACGTTCAGAAATGATACAGCATAATGACATTAATAAGATGGTGACTAACCGTAAGGCTTTGTAGAGTGGTCTGAACCAGCAGGTGTAACTGCACGGGCTGAACAGTAGGAGCCAGAGTAGTGAAAAGCCGAAATTTGTGGCACTTCCACCCCCAGCCCACCAAGCAATACATGAGATCACATTTAGAAACAGTGTGCCTGAATACACTGCGGGGAGAGGGGACAGTGGAGGAAAGCAGAGAAAGGGAAGTGATTCATTTTTGTGCATAGTAGTAGAAAGAAGAGATTCATGTTCCTATTCCAAGATAAATTCAAAGAACTATTTAATGTATGCGGCAACACTCACTCATCCAAAGAGTGTAGACTCTGCGCACCAACTGCTGGTGCTGTGCAGGTATTTCCTCTTCAATGTTGTGATAAAAGCATGGCTTTATTCTGAAGAACTGGGGCAGGGGAGGAAAGTTGTTGGCACGGTCTGAAAAAGGATGCAACATGTCATTTTATTATTTCTGTTCTGAGTAAGAGTTTATTTAATTAAAGGATGGGCAAGTGTAGTGTAGATTGTGAATTTACCAAGATAGATAGATAGACAGATAGTGAGATAGACAGATAGATAGATAGATAGATAGATAGATAGATAGATAGAAACGTGTTTTAAGTGACTAACCTGCCATCTTGAAATCCCAACAGTTTCCTGGATAATATGAATATACACAGAAATGAAATTAGACAATTAACCCTCGTACTTTTATATGTATACATAATATATGTCATATAATAGTCTCTTTTACTTGTTTTATTAACTCAATTTTAAACTAAAAATGTTCTGGTATAGGACTTCTGGTTGAACGAGACATCTGAAGAAGCAACATTTGGCTCTGAGAAGTTGTGATGGCTGTGTTTGACAGTTTTTGTACACATTTCATAGACCAAACTATAGTCAATTTAACGTTGAAAATGGAAAATGTAGCTGCATAAGACCATTTGAATAAATATTATTTTGGACATAAAAAAGTGAGATTCTGCTGTTTTCCTTCTAAGTATAATGCTGTGTGAAGTGATCATATGTGTGACATTATACACAGGGGTGTAAAGTAACTAAGTATATTTACTCAAGTACTGAACTTAAGTATAATTTTGAGGGACTCTTTTTGTAGTATTTCCATTTTTGCTACTTTTGTACTTCTACCCAAATACAATTCAGAGGTATATAGTGTACTTTTACTCAACAACATAGATTTGGATAAATGAAGTGAAATATAATCAACACTTAATAAGACTTTGCTACACCTGGAGTAACATTCACAAGCTACCCTGCAGTATACAATCAAAATGACCAGCTTTAATCAGAACATATATTATATATTAGTCAATCTGCAATCTACTTTTTGGAGCTTTATGTATATTTTTACTTTAGTACTTTTACTTAAATAACATTGTGTATGCAGGAATGTAACTTGTAACAGACTAGTCCAACACTTTGGTACTTCTACTTTTACTTAAGTACAATATCGGAGTACTTCTGTTGATACTGTAATGAGCTAAAGCTGGTTGTTAGGCAGCTCAGTAACGTTAGTCCAACAGAAGCAGTTGGAAGCCTTTCCATAACGTTGATGCTGTATTTGACTAACTGGCAGTCGGACTAGAAGTAAAACGGTGTTAAAGTAACCGGAATGCGTTATAAAACTATGCCAACGTTACCGGGATATCGTGTATCTCCTTTCGTTTCCGTCGACAACTGCAGCGGACCGGAGATTCATTCAGGATGCGCTTTTGCGACCCTCAGCCATTGAACGTACTGCGGCTGCGCCACAAGTTTAATGTTTGTAGTTCTTAGCTGTATGCATTCAACAAGCTTGGGCGCATAAAGAACTACACGTCCCATGATTCATGTGCGCGGTAAACGGGAAACTCGTGACAGCAACATGACACTACAGTTCGCGGATCCCACCCACTCATGAAAGTACATTCAGGGTTCAACTCAGATTTTATCAGGATTATTTGCCTTTATACATTTTTGATCGTTGTCATAACATTTAAAGGTAATAACATCAATTAACATTATATTATTTACCTAATCATTTATTTATTTATTTTGTACCCACGAATCCAACTTTATCAACTCAATTTAAAACCTATTTTTTACATTTGTTTTCATTTTAACAATATTTTAATCTAACTTGATACAGCATCAGCAGCCTTTGATGGTGAACATCTATAGATTTATGGAGTGGATTAATATGCCCTTCCTTTTGATAAATAATAATAACAGCACCTGAATAACAAAAAGTAAAAAGGGAATATGTACATTAGAACAACATTGCACTTTTATGTGACATCTCCTTTTGTAATTGACAAAAACGTGTTTGAAATTAGGCAGGGATAAGTATTCATTCCAGTGCCATTATTATCTCGGAGCAGATGAACATTTGTTGCCATTACTGATCAACATTGGACAACTTTGTCATTGACATAACGCAAAAACGTGTGGGTGATGAAGCGAGTGACAAATTATATTTTAAACTTGCAAAATGTTTAAACGCAGTTTTGCAAAAAATACTCTACAAATGTGTTATACTATCAAGTATATCAGAGTCAGGTATTGTCGTTATGCAACACAGGGGTTTCATAACGAAATATTACCCTAATTCGTGATGAGAACGGTTGATTGAAAGTGTACCCAAAATCGTACTACTTTCTTTCATTATATTTTCTCACAACATGGCAACCATAACTTCTGTATATGAAGCTCCTCAGCCAATTACAAAGCCTAAGACATCAGCCAGAAGGCGTGGCCATCTCTCGTTTTCTAGCACAGGGTGTCCCGAACACGGTGGAGATAGTATATTTTCTTAGAAAACACAAGACGGAAGACGCAATGAGCCAATATAATTGTGCCTTTCTGTGGTGATAAAGTTCCAACTATTTTAGTTCTAATGTTTTTAGAAATGTCCCAAAGCGCTTAATTTCACAAAACACCCACGTAAACGCACAACGCAGTTGTGCAAAACAAGCGCCTCAACCGGGGATCAGTAACTTGGCTTTGACCAATCAGCTACGGTGATTGATGCAATGACACACTCCCGCCAATTCCGACTTGGGAGCGCGAGGCAGGCAGTGGGGTGAACTAAGGGACTGTGTGGAAGATGCGGAAAGAGAATGCGTTATGTTTTATGTGAATAAATTAGAAATACATGTCGTTTAGATAGCAGTATAGTATTTGATTTGTGGTCGGTTGCATTCTCGGTTTTTTTAGGCTACCTGCACCGTTTTCTTTACGGAGTATTCATAAACGAGTGGAACACCGGCTTAGTGGTTGGGATGTTGGCGGCGGAAACTCCATCTGTGGACGGACATCTGGCAGCATCGACTCCCCGCAGAAGAGGTACAACGTTAACGCTTTCTATTAATTAAGTTGTAGGCAGTTGAAACGTCTTGCCACAATGAACAATCTACATTTATAATACGGTCACAATGCAGTTCTGCAGGTTAGCGTCCACAAACAGAGGAAAAACATAAATATGTGTTGCTTAAGGTTAGGTTTTGTCGTTGGTTAACGTTTTCCTGCCGATAAAGGTTCAGTAACGATGGTGACAATGTTACAAGGCAGACGTTAACTGATATAAACATCTGCCAACTTGCCAAACATTAAAGCTAGCTATGTAAAGCTAGCTTGCTGCTCAGCATTACAAATGTTAAGTTGTAACATCAATTCGTCAACATTAACATCAAAGTAATGACAAAGTTGGTTAGGCCTCATACCAACATTGTTTCAATTCACCCTACTATTCGGGCTCGAGCGTGTTTCTGAGTGACTGTTACCGTTTCTCTGCTAGGTCATAGCTCTGCCTGAGGTGCTTATCTGTAGCCAGTTTTGTGAGGTTAGCAGAAAAGCTAGTCTCATTAGCAATTGTGATTTGGTCAACCTCATATGAAAACTATTTCCAAAGGTGTCACTCCAGAGCGGCTACGTTCTCGTTGCTTTCACATACCCAAAGTTATTGGGAATATACTTACATTAATGTTACAATGCGAAGTTTTCAGCATTGTGGTCAGGCGTACACCTTTGCCTGACAGCCCTATGAAAGAGTTCCTGCTCTGCGGACCCAACTGGGCCTGCAGCACAGACTAATAATACACCGGTTGGCGGGAGAGCAAACCAAACACAACCACTAAATTCAATGCAACACTAACGTTTGGACGCAAACGTTGCAAAGGAATTCATTTCAACAATTTCTAAAAGTAATACTTTTAAGACGTGTGGTATTGGATTGACTATCACATCAATACATGGTGGTTCGAATGTGTAAACCCAAAGTGCATTAGCGTCACCGGCATCTGGTTAATACAGCAGTAAACTAATGTGACGTTGCTCTTCACAATTTAATTTGGCTGAGTGGGTCCTAGGTTTTTTTCTTTTTTAAAGATTGTAATTCAAAAGAGTTTTATACTTAAACGTTGTATTTAAAGTTGGTATCATTCTTAGTCAACATTGTGTTTTTACATTCTGCAAAAATCCCATCAGTTCCACAGTTGTCAAAATGAACACATCAAGGTTGATCATGTTGAAGTGAAGATGTGGTGACAATTATTATTTTCTAATGTGCTATTTCTTTTCCTTTTTCAGGCATGGATTGTAAGTCGAGTAAAAATGCCAACAAAAAACTTATCCAAGGTAAATTCAACTTCATATTTTACACTATTTCAATGTTATTTAATTTGATAAGAAAAAATAATGATAGCTTTTGGTTGCATAGTTGTACTGTCAATGTATTGACTGTTAAAGAACTTCTGCACATTTTGAGATACTTTTTTGATCTGTATTATTCCCCAGTTTTTTATATATAAAATATAGTCATACGATTTTCTTTTTAATTATTCTGCCTGCAGCTCGTCTCCCATTCAAGCGCATGAACCCTGAACCTAAAGAGAACCAGCCACCTAAACGCCCCTGTGCACATACCTGCCCCAAACCAGGCGACTCGGACAGGGAGAATGAGAATGAATCTTCTGCGCTCTCTGCACACTGTGGACCGCCCTTGGTTAACGGCCGCGGGCCCCTTGATGGCTTCCTGAGTCGAAGGCGCCCTGCGCCAGCGGATGAGAACATGGTTATAGATCTGACCGCAGACAACGCCCTGTCTCCCATTAAGCGCCTTGTTTCACCTGCTACCACCTCATCCCGCCTCCCAGCGAAAGACAAGCATCTGGGAAAAGATAAAACTACATTGTCTGAGAAATCCAGCTCTCCTAAAACACACACTTTAGACTGCACAGTTGTCGAGACAGATGAGGAAGAAGATGAAGATGAAGAGGACGAAGAGATGGAGGAGGAGGAAGAAGAAGAGGCTAATCTGACAGCTTCAGTTTCGCAGATTGACACAACGCAGGATTCTGAAAGTGAGCCAGAGGAGCTGGAGGAGTCGGGAAACAGGTCCATGCTGTCAGCTTCGTCCGCCAGCGGCACATCCGAAAGCTCACCAGAGAAGTCCAAGACTGATGACCCTACATCCCCTTCTACACCCAGCACTGTATGTACATCTACCATTGCTGTATCTGCATACAAATAAATGACTTATCACCAGGTTCAGAATGGTAAAAAGAGCTTTGATGAAAGTTTTTTTTAATATGTTATCATAAAGACACAAAACAATTGCTTTATCAGTTAATGTTTTAGATACTTTTTTTGTTGCTGTTATAACAATAGAAACTGGCTTGATTGAAAAAGTAAAACATCTGTTAATTCAGACAAATGCCTTGAGATATATTATAGATGAAAACACAAGAATATTTCTTAAATACCAACCGTATGAGAGTTCAAAGTATAGTACAATAATTGTCAGCATGCAAATTAATTATTGACAAGGCTGGTTGACATTGTGTCAAACATATTTAACAATCATTATAAGCGTTTTTGTTTTTGTTTCTAACCTCATAGGAGCCAAAGACGACCCCCAAGATACCATCAGATCAGAAAAATATCAGAAGGCGCTCGTTGAAGGTGGGTCTTTCTCAGTATAGAGTGCCACAGTGACGCGTCCTAAAACCTGGAAGTAAGTTTGCATTTGACCACTTCTGGCTCCTTCAACAAAAAGCAATGCAATTTCTCCATAGGATTCTGGAAAATAGCTTGAAATAAGGTCTGTGGTTGACACACATTTAAGAGACGGATCACGTTTTGTTCTACGATATTAAATACATCAGCAGTGACCCCCCCTTGTGATTTTTTAAGAGTTTACGTGTCTGAAAAAACGATGGTTGTTAACAAGTGGCTGAATAGGACCACAGAAGTTGTCGAGGCCGTTGTACGTCATTACACCGAACCTGTGAACACTCCTACTGAGTTTGTTTTTCCCCGTGTTCTGCTTGAAAGCAAGTGCCTGCCTCCTGCAAACTGACCCAAACTCTTCAACTTGTAACATTTTGAATCTGTATTTTTGAATATGGATCTTGAGTTGGCGTGACGTTGAAGCAGCGACCCTGCTGTAGTTCGTTTATAGCATAACGTTAGCATTTTGCTTCTAGCAACTACATTTATGATTCGAAAATTATAAAAGTAGGGTAGACATGTGGATATTATCCGGCTGAATAAAACGTGATCCGTCTCTTAAATGTGTGTCAACCACAGACCTTATTTCCAGCTATTTTCCAAAATCCTATGGAGAAATTGCATTGCGCTTTTCTCGAAGTAACCGGAAGGAGTTTACTTCCGGGTTTTAGGACGCGTCACTGTGGCGCTCTGTACGCTGCAAGTTGGGGTTTGAATTTAGAATATTTGTTTATACACAACCGGATTTCTTAAACCTGTAGGAGAGAAAAACTGACTGAACTTTTGAATTTTAGAAAGTCCAAGAACAGGAGGAGAGGCATCTGCTGCGGCAGGAGAAGGACCGCCAAAGGGAAGAGGCTAAAGCTGCAAAAGAGAAAAAGAAAGAAGAAGCTCGTCGTCTGAAGGAAGAGCGAGAAAAGGAAAAACGGGAGAGAAAAGAAAAAGATGAGCAAGAGAAACGAGAGAAAAAAGAGAAGGAGGAAAAAGAAAAAGCTGACAAGTTAAAAGCAAAAGAGGATCTACGGAAATCCAAGCAAGAGTAAGAGTTGCATTGTCTCCTGTTACTCAAGTGTTATACATGTGGCATGATATCAGATACATGTGTTATAAATCAGGGTGTCCGCAGGGTCTTAAAAAGTATTCAAAGTTGATCAGATAAGATGGTACTTTATTGATCCCAATTCCCAAATTGGGATCAATAAAGTACCATCTTATCTGATCAACTTTGAATACTTTTTAAGACCCTGCGGACACCCTGATTTATAACACATGTATCTGATATCATGCNAATCAGTAGTCTCGTTGTTCGACTCTCGATCGAGCCAATCGTCGCGGCTTGACTGGACCTCTTTGTGGTACTACTTGCTGAAATCAGTCATTAAAAATGGAAATTAGTTGGCCCAGACAAACGAAACCTCTCAAACCTAACACTAACCACCAAACGACACGTACGTTCGGACGTACAGTGAGTGAGTTTCATGGGGACGTACCTCCTCGGCACGTCAAAAGGATAACCATCGGTTGCGGTCTTATTAAACTCATTGTACTGCATGGCCATGAATTATAGCGTTCAGGACGAAGAAAAAAGAGAAAAAAGTCACTGTGCGGCGGGGCGCTACACTTATAGCGCGTACGCGTGATAGCGCTAATAGCAGTGCTGTGCTATAATAAAGCCGTCGGTATGATAGGTCATGTGAGTAAAACTTAATATGCTCGGAATACCGGTCAAATACATATAGTCAACCATAGGAACGGTAATGTAAGAACCAACTTAACACTTGGATATATATTATACATACAAAGAAGTCTTCGTTAGTTTTACACAAGACATCTTACAACATATGGAAATGTCCAAAATGTCATGTATAGAGAGACCGATTACTGTGTAAGATTTTCTAGAGATTACGAGAGAATGAGGAGCATGAGTCAGCCGACGACGGAGACGACGCCGTTGTGGTTGTCGTCGTTCCACTAGTAGGTCACTCAAGGTCCTCAAAACAGCGTCGGCTGGTGGAGGAGTAGAAGTGCGGGGGGCTTGCAGTCGGGAGTCTCAGTCCGTCTTTGTAGGTGGTCCATTTTGTTGATATAAGTGCACTATTGCGCCCCAATGACGCCTTCGCGCACTTCGTCTGGGAAGGCGCCTATGTTGTCGCGCTCGCTTGCCGTCCATTTTCGCGTCCCCCAGCAAGCACTGATCATATGTAGCTAGCGCCTACCGCAGCTAGCGAGCTCCTGCCTTACAGTACGTATACATCTGTAATTGGGAGATGTCGTTTGTATATGATACTGCATTGCGACCGCAATTAATCTATGGACATTTCAGAGTAACAAACCCTTCTGGGAACTCCATGTATATCAAATAGTGTAAGGTTTGTGACGATGGTGTTAACGATAAGTACACAGTTTACTGACATTTCCTAGAAGAAAGACTTGCGAATTTCCATCCGTGCAACAGGGTGAACATATGAAAAAGGTCTGATGAAACTATAAGAGACGTAATGGTTACTCCAGGTTTGCGTGTACAGGTAGAAAAACCACCCACATGACAAGCGACAAAGTCCGCATGACCTGAATGTATTACCGGGCCTGAGTGCTGCCGGGTGAAGCAGGTCGATAATTATCGATCATACACTGTGTTCGGCAATGCTATGGCTGCTGATCAACAGATGCTGACCCGGGCCTGGACCTATTTTTTTCGGCGCCTGCAGAGCTTGGCCGGGGTCGAAGTCTTGACCCGATTCATGTTTGTGTGGCGAGTACATTATATAAACGGCGTGCGCGCGCGCGCCGGTGCAACCGGCCGAGCATGGTGCTGCGAAGCCCGATGCGGCTGAGATGCTGCGCCGCCGGCGCTGTAGCGAGGCTTGAAGGCATGGCCGTAGCCCTAAGGCGGGACTTGCCAGGGCTACCGCGGTCAGGCGGTGACGATGTAAATAGTTATAATTGACATTTTCTTGATTTGCATTAGATGTTTACCACGCAAAAATTTAAAATTCTCGACTCCGATAAAAAGGAAAATTTTCTGTCATTTCATAAAACCGATAAGTATAAATTTTTCGATGTGTTTGTGACCGTAGGAGTAAACTTTTATTTAGAATAGTCGCAAATATAAGATTACTCTGAAAGAAACGGGAGAAAGTAGTCTTATTTCCTACTTTTCGCCGGACTACTTCTCGTTGCGACCCGAATACTCTTCGCCCGAGGTGCGATTGTCTGCGACGACCATGCGGTCCGCCTCCAAGACTGCGGCGAAGCCAGTCCTGCGAGAAGGACACGGGACCCGGTTACCTGCGGATGGGAGTGGTGTCCCCGACGCTCTTCTCAGCGCACTTCTTGTCGTCGACCGGGGCCGAAGAGTCCCTTTGAGGGGGTGTTGGGTGTCTGGGAGCAGGTGTAGCAGTAGCGAGGTTTGTTTCCTTTTCGTGTCGTCGTACACGTTAGTGGTCAAGTACTTTCTTTACACGCTGCGGTCTCCGTCCATCTCTTTTGCGAGAGTTTATCTTACAAATTGCGTCGTAAAGTAACTTAGGAGAAATTCTAGTTGAGTTATCGTACGTAATAGGCAGTGGGACTCCCATAGGGCGTCACGAGGTTCCAAGAACATAGTAACCCAAAAGTCGTTCATCTCCGTTCTACCAAAAGTTCGGACTGTGACTCCTTTCTACTGTTCTTCTAACACAGTAACACAGGTGTTTCTACACTCAAATGGTGTCTGGTTCATAATTTCGACAATAACCCTGACATCAACAAATGATATTCCAAGTCTAAATTAAATTTCACGTGGATAGTACCGGATAAAAATCCGTTATCGGTATCCAAGAGTCTATATATTTTTTGTGCAGATACTTACACAAAACGAGTTTTATGCGTTGTCTCGAGAGGGTAAGATCCCGGTACGAGTATAGGGAGATAAAAGTGAAGGACAAAAGTTGTTTCACCCGACTAAACCCATATTCCAAAAAATTTTTATTTTTAACTAAATTATTTTTCCTCCCGACTCGAGTTACACCTCGGGCCGTTGATGACAGATTTGATTTATGACCCGCCACTCTTTGCGGTATAGTACCGAATGAGTTGCCTAATAAAAGACTTGATCCTAGTTTCCCGAAAGAGAGACGGTCAATGTTCCACTCAAGGAAAAAAGTAAAGGACGAAGAGAGTTGTAACACTACCAAGTGACGCATAAAATCCGTGGAGAAGTAAGTAAACGTTGACTGGCGTTTTGAAAACTATTGAAGACGTTGTAATCAGCTACCTGTTACTTTTTTATGAACAGTGAGTCAAACATAGTATTTGTGCCGCGGGACATATCAAAGCAAAAACGTAGAACGTCACAACCGCTGATAGTGCACGCTGTTTAGAAAGGACTGAGTTATAATCTTGTCGTAGTAGCATAAGTTCTTGAAGAATACACCAAGGTATTGTCAACCACTTATCAATGTTTCACTTCTTGTTAATGTCGTAACCGACAGCGGTGAGCGTTAAATTACAATCAAAGTAAGAAGTCGAAATTTTCCTACGCGTTTGGACATAAATAGTTAATCTTTCTTTAGAGCTAATATAAATAGGAGAGATTCGGGCGCTGGTCTTTCAGCTTTACTCCCTCTCGGACACACTATCTCCAGTCGAGGGAGGTTGTCAGTCCGCCGGGAGGGCAACAGGGTTCTCGCCCAGAGGTTGGGGAGAGGTCGCCGGATCCTGTCCCTTCCGTGACTTAAGATCCTTCATCCGGTTAAATATAGTTACAAAAATACCAATTGTATAGCATTGAAGTTCAAGAAAGGATGGTTTGCGGGGGAAAAAAACTGTCTTTTCTTCATTTCCTGTATGTTTTCATATCGCAATATATATCACAGGGAGGGGGGAAAATCGCAATGTCAGTTTTTTCCAATATTGTGCCGCCCTAACTGATAGTTCAAGTGTGAAATGAAAAGGTAAGTTTCAACTACAATGCTTGTATATGATGGTAACTACTGTATCAAACACAAGTCTAGCATTAAACAATATGGCAATACACATCGTTTAATTTATGGGCACAATAATACAGTTTTTCTAAGGGAATTACAGTAAGGTGCATGTCATTTGAGCCCACATGCCCATATTATGACAAGCAAACTATACATTAAGATATAGCCAAACATACTCAAAATACTAGGGCTGTGCCAAATAGTCTTTTTATACTATGTGAGCTTCCATAGACCCTTTTCACAGCCATTTTGGCATCTCAAGGCTGAAAAGATATGGCTTTAATGATATCATACATAATGGCTCTATTCCATGAAGTGAGCCAGCATACTAATAGAGCCCTGGAAATAGAGTGCCACAGTGACGCGTCCTAAAACCCGGAAGTAAGTTAGCATTTTACCACTTCTGGTTCCTTCGACAAAAAGCAATGCAATTTCTCCATAGCATTTGAGAAAATAGCTGGAAATGAGGTAAGATAAAGTATATAAAAAAAAAAGAGACATATCACGTTTTGTTCTAAGACATTAAATACATCAGCAGTGACCCCACTGGAGATTTTTGAAGAGTTGACGTGTCTGAAAAACGATGGTTGTTAACAAGTGGCTGAATAGGACTATAGAAGTTGTTGAGGCCGTTGTACGTCATTACACCGAACACGTAAACACTCCCACTAAGTTTGTTTTTCCCCGTGTTCTGCTTGAAAGCAAGTGCCTGCCTCCTGCAAACTGTTAAAACAAACTCTTCAACTTGTACCATTTTGAATCTGAATGTTTGAATATGGATCTTGAGTTGGCGTGACGTTGAAGCAGTGACCCTGCTGTAGTTCGTTTATAGCATAACGTTAGCATTTTCCTTCTGGCGAATAGATTTATGATTCGAAAATGATAAAAGTAGGGTAGACATGTGGATATTATCCGGCTGAACAAAACGTGATCCGTCTCTTGTGTCAACCACAGACCTTATTTCCAGCTATTTTCCAAAATCCTATGGAGAAATTGCATTGCGTTTTTGTCGAAGGAACCAGGAGTTTATTTCCGGGTTTTAGGACTGTGCACTAGCACTGTGCACTCGCCA